GCGCGGCGCGCGGCGTTGCGCTGCCATCGGCGATCGCATACAGGCGAGCGTCCTTACAGATGCGACGTCTGCGGCAAAACGTTCACGCAGTTTAGCCCGATGGCGATCCATAAGCGTCTGCACACCGGCGAGCGTCCTTACAAATGCGACGCGTGTGGCAAGGCCTTCGTGTCCAGATCGACCATGATGTGCCACAGAAAGAAGCATCATGTCACGACGACCGTTACGCAGAAGGACGAGCCGGCCGCGTACAACGAGGACGCGGAGGTCAAAATTATCCTTTCGTCCGAAATTATAGTCAAAGATACGCACGAAGCGATTCAGATTAGCGGGGATTGAACTGGCGAATCGTGGCAGACGTGTGAATTCCACGACTAAGGCTTCGGCTGTAACACAAATCTTTGGGTGCTAAGAAGATTTCATCCGCATGCGTTTAGGTAATGAATTGTTCTTTCGTTACCGTTAATGTCTATCGAGGTACATTCAAAAACTTTATATAAAGATATTTTTACAAAGATTAGAATTCTTGTGTGGTACGTGAAGAGAATACGATTGAGAGTTTTACCTGAATCATTGAAGTGCGGCATGAATTCATATATTATACAACACAACGTCGTATTTTATTTTCGAGGCATTAAGTGAATTTCCTAAATACAAATATAATAGTTTGATTAAAAGATTACGTGTCAAATTGATATTTTATAACAAGGATATAAACTTGTAAAGAATGTGGGAACATATGTTATTAATATTGTTTTACAAGTTTATATCTTTGAAAAAAACAAAATACATTTTATGTACTGCTTAAAATATAATATTCGAGTGTTATTTTGACTTCTACTTGAAAATACATTTTGCTTTCATTGAAAATACAAATACAATTTTTACGGAAAAATATTGACGTTTATTTAAACATCGATGATCTCTAAAAGTTGTGTTACAAATTGATCGAATAAAATAAATAATTTTAAAACAAAAGGAATAATTGTTTTATAAAATACAATTACACAATAGTACTCATTATCGGAAACTTTAGATAATTGATGATATAGATGATATAGAAAGCGTTTGACTTTACGATATTGTAAAGAATAAATTTTAATGAAAAATACGAGACCATAAAAAAAAAAGTTTGCGAATATTTAAGATTTAATTAAGATGAGTATTGTACAAAGCATGATTGGTTTTTCATTACATTTATAAATACATGCATATAAATTATTTGCGTATGAAATTTCTCAGATCACATTTTTTATACATATTTCAGAACCCACATCATGAAAAGAAGGGAACGTTAACGTTAAGAAAAGTGAAATATTTTCTTATACATATTAGCAAAATATTATTTAACAAATCGAAAGCTGATGCGATAATATTGATGTTCATGCTTTTGCAAATCAGAAACATTTTCGGAATTTAGACGAGAATCCAAGAGTAGATAATCGCTCCGAATATCGCATATTTCTATGCAACTATCTGAAAATAAAGCTCTGACTAAATATAAATCAGCTTTCTGTACTACACAAAGTAGAAGTTGTGATATATAATAAAATAATTAAATATATTATTTGTAAGATTGTGATGATTGTAATATTAACGAAAACCTTTTGGAAGAAAATATAAAGAGCTTTACATCGACGTGTCTTTGTCGCCATGTTTCTAAACGCACCCATCAAAATCGCATAAATTTCTCCTATTTCTAGCAAGTATTTGTGTATTTCTTATGAGAAGAGTCCTCGACGGCGAGAGTTAGGGCAAGAGCAAGGAATGAATATAACTTGAATTTTAATAAAAATTCGTTTTATTTCGACAGTACGAAATGAGTCTCGCTGAAGCTGCTCGGTACGTACTTTCGGTACGTCGACTCTACCAGCAGCAATAACGCAAGTATCGAGAAAAATCGATATAAATTTATATGTAGTTTTCTTTTCCATTTTGTAATAACCTTTTTATTATCTTGAATACCAGTTGAACGCAGCTGTTATATGTGCACAGCGAGTGTACGTGATAACAACCTTTACAATAACTGCTGCTGGCTTCGCCTATACCGTTCTACAATTGACAACGAATGTTTATTCTATAATTTGACATTAACTACCTACGCAAGGCATCGATGACATAATTTATTTCATAATTCTGTTTGCCTACGCGCTATATCTACACGCTTGAGGGGCCCCTAAGCTACACGGATGACGACGAACTATTCCCAATCAATTGCAAATTATACGGTATACATTTATATGACGTAGTCTCGTAAATACAAAATACATATAAAATTGTAAATGGCTTTAAGTAGAAAAACGGAAACTTATGCGACGGTTCAATGAAGTACAAAATACGCTCGTCGTTGTTCGATAACTCCTTTACAATTTTATCGAAATAGAGCACTGTGTCTATTACTTTAATGCAGTTTCCTTCCTCTACGTATCGCTCAATATTTTTGTAAGCGTGCAGGGGGCCCTCGCTAAATCGGTGGTCAATCGGTGTGAACAAATTCTCTAGTAGTGTGTTAAATACGTATATTACAAAGCACCATGATCTAAAATTACAAATATACAGGGTGTTTTGTGTATTCTAATATATATATAGAATTGATTTTACAATTCTAGATATCTCGTGAATAAAAATTTAATGGAAACCAAGTTGGAACATTATCATTTTATCACGTTGATAACATTTCTACAAAACGTAACATAATGCTATATATACATTAATACATGTTCAACACCCTATATACTTTGGCTACTAATGATGTAATATTAAATGGACTCATATTTTCTTTTAGATTAGTTACATATATTTTGTATAACAAAAAAAATATTGACGGAGATATTCAGTTAAAGCAATTTTTCTTTCCAACGTTACAAACTGTAGTGTGTCGTGCATGGTTTTCTTTTTTAAGAATAATCTATATATATATGTACAGCATATATACGTTCTATGGTATTAATTTCCAATCGATTATATTGATCCCAAAGCGGCTTCTTAAACGTTAAGCTTATATATAAACCTAGCATAATCACAGCGATTTGTAAATCCGAAATGTAATATTTATTAGGAACATGAGAAACGATATTGAAAATATTCAAACATTATTTTTACAGGAGAAGTCAATTCTCAAACTGTCCAAACCAATGCCCCATGCAAAAATAATATACATATATATATATACGTACAGGGTGTCCTAAATCAACCGCTCCACACGGTAATGTCACATTCCTGAAATTATTTCGATGAAAATTCTAATGTCAAAATGATCTCTGAAATGTGTTATGCGTGGTGCGATCGATCTCCGACACTCTGTATATAAAATAATTTATCGAAAGAAAAACAAATATATCTGATATAATGAACATAGTTTTACAATTTACATTTGCTTTGAGATCAGGGACGAATTGAATATCTCTTCGCAATAGTATAGAACTATTTTTTTCACACCTCCCGTTTTCATATACTGAATTGCTACCCAATCATCAATTTCATCACATTCTTACCCTTCATTGCAAGCTTAAAAATCAATACAAAATTTGACGACGAACATACATTGTCAACATAAAACGACCGTACTGATAAATATATCGCTAAATATTATGATATCTCTTTTATATACGATACAGGCAGCTGTTTTGAATCATTCTAAATAGAAGTTCGCGTTGTTGCACATGCATATTTGCCATTAAACTGACACAAATACAAAACTGTCGTATATAAGCTTGTTGTTCTTATTTAAACACACATATAGCGCGAAATAAAGATAAATGTTAATTTCTATGTGCAAGACGGCGGCAGCATGACATAATTATTCAAAGGGGACAAAATCTTTTCGACATCGATGTTCTCCCTTCAATTTTAATGTACATCATGCTGCGATTGCATTAAATAACAAGAGTGCTTGACATGGATCATCTCGGTTGTGAAAAATTAGAAAAGCGTATTGT